TCTCTCTCTCTCTCTCTTTCACTGTCTCACTCTCTTTCCACTACGGCTCATGTGTTCATTCATTTTTCGCTATTCACCTGCCACTCGTCGTGTCTTGCATAAATTTTCTCTTTTTATTCACTTCCTCACAAACACTCTCTCTCTCTCTCTCTTTTTCTATCTCTGTTTCTTTTTCTTCTTTTATTCGATCCCCCGATTAAGTAAAGCGAAAAAAAAAAAAGAGAACCACCTTTTAATGCTTGGCTGTGCACATCGATCGATAAGTTTGCTAAATCTCCTACAATCGAGAGATCTCGTTTTCATGCCGTTCGATTACGTACTTATACATTATTTGTTCATATCTACCATATGCGACCAGGTGCAAATTAACTGAACCGTGCATCGAATCATACCGATTTTTACCCGCTTGCACATTCCCGCATCGTGTCAGTAGAAATCACGAGCGTTCGCCAGTGCTCTCGCGTTTATGGGGAAAACGGCCGTGACGTTTTACGAGAATGAGACTCGAGATTAGAACGAACAGTAACCACGACCAAACGGCGATGTCGTAACGAAATGATTCGGGACATGCTTTATAACCGGGAACTATGATTACCATCTCTCACCTCTCACAAACTTCCATCTAATGTGCACAGCTGTGAGAACTATGTATATATATATGATTAAATACATATATATCACCGTAGTGTTTCTCACCACCCCCTCAAACCCCCAAAACCCCAACCCCCCACCCACCCGACACTCACCCACACACGGTCTAGACGTGCTTTTAGTGGCGTTTGTACGTTGCGCTATTTTTCAATTTAATATACCTGTTGTATAGAATATATACATATATACATATATACTTCTATATATTCGTATGTACGCGATAGATGGAATATATGATATATATGTGTGTCTGTATATCTATGTCTACACGCTACTCGTATACCCAACGTTTCCCTAGCTGCCGAGCTACCGCTGGCTCGCTGAGATTCAAAGCACGGAGCAGAACGCGATCGCATATCACACGATACACCCGTCGTTTACGTAATGATTATTATTATTATGACGATAACGTAGTAATTTTTATCTTCCCTGTCAATGCTAATTTTAACATTCCTCGTTAATACTGATTTTTATCTATCCCGCCAATTAGAGTCGCATCGCGCGTAAGATTGAAAGTAAAAATTGTATAGAGGGAAATATAGAGAAAAAGTTTGCGCAGAGAGCGAACACAATATGCACCGGGTTCGACGGCCAAGTAAAGTAGAATGAGCGGACGCTACTGAGGGCTCGGCAGTTCTCGCGCGGAGGTAGTTGGATCGGAACTTCTCGTTTAGGGGACATAGGCATAGTTAGCCTTGATCGTGTCTAGTGTGTCAATGTGCTCGACGATGTCGATTCGTTTTTCGCGGTGGCGAGCCAGCGAGATTCACGTGAGGGTATGTGTGTGTGGGCAGTCTGCAGAAACAGGTCAGCGTTATGAGTATGAACTTGAGTGCCAAGCTGGACGAGATGCAGCGGGTTGACCGTCAGACGGAGACCAACGTCGCTCTCTGTGAGATCCGCACCCAGCTGCAGGAGCTCACCAAGAGCGTAGAGTCCTGCCAGAGCGAGGTCAGCGAGGTGAAACGGGACATGGTCGCCATCAAGGTATCGTTCGGTTTCCACCCATTGCTAACCGTGCCGCCTGTCCCTTCCTTGCCCCGAAATCCGTTCTATTAAACAAATCATTAGCGTCGAGTTCGATTCTTCGTCGTCTGAAGAAGACAGAGAATCTTCTCTTAGTACGTATCTCTGCGCGGAGAAAGTCGATGAAACCGTCTTGTAATTATTTGGCTCCTAATTTGGAACTTAAATTCGAAACGGTTTATCTCTTACCAAAGCCGCAAGAAAATAAACGAAAAGGAAAGGAAGAGAAAATAGTTTTGCCAATCTAGTTCCTCCGAGCGAATACGTAATTTGTTTAACATACAGGGTGTCCGCGCCAATGTGACACGGTCCAATTACTGCACAATACGATGCAGAAAGTTGGACGATAAGTGCGCGATAAAAGGAGAAGAATGTTTTGCCGTGAATGGATTTTTTTTTTTACATTATTATTTTAAGAGATACGAAGGTCGGCATGGCTTGAAATAGACCGCCAGTCACCAACCGAACCATTCATAATGGAATACAATGCATTTTTTTGACACACTCCGATACTTCACTGATACATATTTCCGGTTCTCCCTATACTTGCTCGAGAAACTAGCCAGCTTTCACGTACAACGACAGTTCATTTCTTACCGCGTACGTTGTCGCTCTCGAGATCAGGAGTCCTACTGAAAAAATTTACTCCGGTACGTAGACGGAGGAGCAGAAAACAGTCAGTACAGTACAGAAAACATAAAAGCTTGACGGTCCATAACTTCGCGATAACTAACCACTGACGGCTGAAACTCTATAAATTCGAAACGGAACGCGTTCTCTTTAGAATGCCGTTCGATTCGTCTCGATCTGACTTCCGGTTCCGGAGATGTCGCGAAGACGAACACCATTTTTTCGACACCGCTATCGTGGTCCTTCTCGCACGTTGACCGACTCACGGACCTATCCTAATCTCCACCAACCGGTCTAGACACTCAGGTGATACGCGCAATTAGGCCACTGTGCCAAACACTGCGCTTAAACTTTCCAAGCCTGTATCTCCGAAACTGATTGAGAAATCACGATGATTCAAAAATCGATTTTTATTCGTCTCGACTTGCCCTGTAAACTGAGATGATCTCCAATAAAAAATTCGATGTCTTTAACACGTACAACTCAACAATACTGAATTCTGCTTGCACCTCCCTTATTTATCTATTATCGTGCAGTAGATAAACGAAACTCGACCATCCCTCTTGAAATAATAATGTAAAAATGCATTTGTATACGTCAAAATATTCTCCCCCTTTTTTTCCCCCCACAAAATTAGCGTCCAACCAAACTGCACCTGCTATCTATTTTGCAGTGATCGAACTGTAATACTTTGCCGCGGGCATTCTGCATTGTACCGCGAACTGCTTTATTGTTAGCGCAGCTAAGTGTAGTATTGTATTGTATCGCGGAGAGTTTTTAAATCGTGTTTCCTAATGTTGTTACGCAGCACGAACTAGATACGGTACAGCAGGTGAAAGAGGAGATAGAGGAATTACGAGAATACGTGGACCGACTAGAAGAACATTCACATCGACGGAAACTTAGGCTTTTGGAGCAGGTGACGCTTCACTCTTACAATCAGAAAGCATTTTTATTATCGTTTTATTTTTCGTATTCAGTGGAATAACGTGGCTTTCGATGGCTGTTTATCGTTACGTTTAATTTTTTTTACGCCGTGTAAACGTTGCGTTACGCATATCCCGTTTGATTTTTTTACGCATTTCGCTGTGATGACGGAGTGTACGACTCTGTACAACGCGTCGATCAAATGTTTTTTAATAAACCATTACGACACTATCCGACGTGGTTTTTATTTCACCCTCCATTGTTATGATTTCTTACCTGTACTCGCTTGTTGTATGATTTCGCTTTCAGTAGGACAACCGTGTGCATTTGCATTAATTATTTTTATTTCACTTGCGTTTATTTAGGCTCTGATCGATACACCTTCCCCGTGAATTCATTGTTATTGTGTTTCGTGTTCACAGGGGCTAACGCTCTTCCTGTCATATGCAATACTGGCAGCAGTTTTAGGAATGTTGCAGTTCGGGTACAACACCGGAGTTATTAACGCGCCGGAAGTGGTACGTTATTCAGACAATATACACGTCCATAAGTGGAAATATGATTTTTAACAGTCGTATGTAATGAATCATTTCATACCGAGTCGATTTAAGTTGGTCGACGACGAAAATGTGTTTTCGTGTTCGCCAGATCGTTTGTCTCAGTGTAACATTAATCCGTTGCAGAATATTGAAAATTTTATGAAAGACGTGTACAAGGACAGATACGGGGAGGACATTTCAGACGATTCCGTGAAGAAATTGTATTCCGTAGCTGTAAGCATCTTCGCGATCGGTGGTATGCTAGGTGGTTTCAGCGGAGGGATAATTGCCAACAGATTTGGCAGGTTTGTACGAACACGTATGTGTACCGTTTAACGAGTAATTCATTAGGGCCACGGGTTTCCACGTGCAACATTCACGAGCGTGCACAGCTACGTATGTACTCGCCGCCACGATATCTGTTAATATTTCAAATTACATGGCAACGTGTGGTCAGGTGATCGGGTGACCCGATCGATTGTCACGGGACTGCGGATTTTATCCATTTATCTGAAAACTCGATGTGCAGGTATAAAGCAGGATGCGTTTAATGCATAATACGGGTTAAAAACTGATCGCCGGATAAGTACAGGATCGCTGCCTCCGGTCGGATCTCGTCGATACTCCGGGATCTACTTGTCACTATCGAAAGACTTTCACCCTGCAAGCTTCGCTTTAGAAAACAATCTATTCTCGAAGTTGTTTCTGAATATCTGTGAAAACGAAACTTGCAGGGTCTCTCAGTAGTGGTAAGTCGACCCCGAAGTGTCAACGAGATCCGACCGGGGGTGGCAGTGCTGAACTTACCCGGTATTTTCGTCTAAATTTTTCAAACTGATAGCGTGAAATTTTTATTTTCGATAATGAAAAGTTCACAGCCTGATTATCGCTCTCGCTGATGATATTTCTTTCCATTGGACCACAGAAAGGGGGGCTTACTGCTAAACAACGTGCTGGGCATCGTGGGGGCGTGCCTGATGGGTTGCACAAAGATTGCTCACTCGTACGAAATGCTGTTCTTTGGACGGTTCATCATCGGTGTCAATTGTGGCTTGAACACCTCGCTGGTTCCCATGTACATATCGGAGATAGCACCGCTGAACCTGAGAGGCGGCCTAGGCACGGTGAACCAGCTCGCTGTTACGGTGGGCCTCCTGGTCTCCCAGGTGCTGGGCATCGAGCAAATCCTTGGGACGAACGAGGGTTGGCCGGTTCTCTTAGGGCTAGCTATCTGCCCTGCCATCCTACAGTTACTGCTGCTTCCAGTTTGCCCCGAATCTCCAAGGTAGAAACATCCCGACGTATCTAGTTGAAAAATAAATTACGCTCGTTCAATGCCCAAACAGAGTCTGTTCGGGCGCACGTGCTTTCAAACAAAAATTAATTTGTTTAAAAATATTTTACTCTACGATTATTCATCTGTACGTTCATTTTTCTCCTTTTAACATTTTTTCTGACTGTCTTCAAAGTTCTGTTTCTGATTTCTTTATTCTTTTCGTGGTTACACCATTTAAAAAGGATCCGAAAATATAAAGGGGTAAAAGACTCATCTTTTTATTAAAATCAAATTATTCGGTGTGAGAATTTAGTAGATAGGAACTAGTCGAAAGTGTCTTAGTATTTCTGATTCTCTATTCGCTGGTTACGAGAGTTTCATTCGCGACGCTCTGCTTCAGATATTTGCTCATTACTAAACAATGGGAAGAGGAGGCCCGTAAAGCTTTGAGGAGGTTGAGGGCTAGCAATCAAGTGGAAGAAGACATCGAAGAAATGAGAGCCGAAGAGCGAGCTCAACAAGCCGAGTCTAGAATATCGATGACAGAGCTCATATGTAGCCCGACGTTAAGAGCGCCTCTCGTTATCGGTGTGGTTATGCAACTTTCCCAACAGCTTTCGGGCATTAACGCTGTAAGTAGCGAGGTGTCGTAAATTTCGTGTACATGCATTACCGCCGCCCGTTATAAGCGGAGTTTCAAGTCGACCGGGAGCTCGTATCGTTTAAGCAAGTTCGCGAGCAGCTCAATTTCAAATGAATTCACGTAGACGTTTAATTCGTTATCATCTCCGTGTGCCATGATCGCTACTCAACACTTCGCATTCGTGCGTAGAGCAGATCGGTCAATTTATCAGTGTCCTCCGTCACACGCGACGGAAATTACTATTATTTCTCGGAAACGAGTATCGCTGACGAAAATTATTTTTTAGATTTAGCCTAAAGCTCCTGACATCTAAAAAATATTAGGTTGATCAATCCAACATTGACTAAGTTTAAAAAAATGAATTAAGTCAAGTTCCGTAATGCGACTCGATATTACTATCACTACCGCTGCTCTCGAAATGTATTATGTAATAACACGCGAAGTTGTCTCTTGTCTGTGTTACAGGTGTTTTACTATTCAACAAATTTGTTCACTAGTTCTGGTTTGACAGAGGAGAGTGCCAAGTTCGCAACCATTGGCATAGGTGCCATTATGGTTTGTATGACGTTAGTATCCATCCCGCTTATGGATAGAACAGGAAGACGTACACTGCACTTATACGGTCTTGGTGGCATGTTTATCTTTTCAATATTCATCACAATTTCTTTTCTCATAAAGGTAAGTTCAAATTTTAGCATCCACTTCTATCCGACTAACGATAAGAAATTTTACGCTAGAACGTAACGTTTCCATAGAGAAATTCACTGAGCGAACGTTCAACCTTGCCAACTAATCATAGCTATTTTCCTCGTGTGTAAATTATCGTGTAGAAAATAACGGAGAAAGTATCGTAGCGCGATAGGCGTCCGCGATAACGATTCGAAGTAACTGTAACCAGCAGCTTTTCGTAAAAATTAACGAGGAATAATTCCGTGTGCAGTAGAGAGCGGTTGTTTTGTCCTGTACTTATAAGAGAGGACGGAGAGAAACCGAGATCTCTTAGTTTCTTATTAATTACACCACAGAGAACGTGGATTGTATATAGCTGTCTCTTTGTGCTTTGTCACTTCATGCACCTTGGCGAAAGGTGTATCTACAATAACACTTTGTTCACAGCTGGAGTGCAGCACTGCACCGACAGTGAGAACTATCACCACTTTACGTATATAAATATTGCATTCGAAAGACTCATTTTTATTTATCCCTATCATTCATGTAACTTGTAAGGTCTGTCCCGACTCCTGCATGTTATTCCTCGTTTGCATAGAGATTATTAATTCTGGGTATATTGACAACATTTTTCCCGATCATTCGACTCAAAATTCGAACACGAGAGATGAAGTCGAAATAAAATGTTTATACTACTAGATGGAATCATGAGACACCTTGAAAATTAATCGAACGAGGGTTTCATGTTTTAAATAAATTACAGCTTCTTTAATTAACACGTTTACTTTCTTTGTTCGCCAATTTTATATATCGTTTTGAGTTCCCTTTATGCATTTTTTATAACATTAAAGTTCGGAGAGTTTAACCAGTATCAGTTTTATGATTGTAATCAGATCCGTAGAGTAATAA